CACCATGTCACAAAGCTCGAATCATTTCAAATTGGTTTCTTGAACATGACAATGAGTTCACTGTACTAAAATGGCCCCCACAGTCACCAGATCTCAACCCAATAGAGCATCTTTGGGATGTGGTGGAACGGGAGCTTCGTGCCCTGGATGTGCATCCCACAAATCTCCATCAACTGCAAGATGCTATCCTATCAACATGGGCCAACATTTCTAAAGAATGCTTTCAGCACCTTGTTGAATCAATGCCACGTAGAATTAAGGCAGTTCTGAAGGTGAAAGGGGGTCAAACACAGTATTAGTATGGTGTTCCTAATAATCCTTTAGGTGAGTGTATATATATATTTTCTGTATGTACATTTATAACACTATAATTTGCATGAAATTACCTTTGCATCAAAATACAAGAAACTAACGCTGCTGTGAGGGTGTTTCGGCTGTTGAAGTGACGGTAAAATTGACATATTTCTCTCTTCTGACTGGCGTTATTCAATCTCTCTCTATTTTTTCCTCCTTTTGAAAGTTGTGAAAACATTATTTTGGAGTTTTTCCTTTGTTATTTGAGCAAATGGGAACACAAAAAATATATTAAAGTAGTCTCTCATTCACCACTATAGAAATTTGCCCAAATATGATGAAATGTGAAAAGGGTCCAATCAAAGCACTAGAAGACAAGCCTGCAACCTTTAGCCAAAAAAGCGTAACGGCTAATGCTAACGCTGCGGCTGTGGTGGTTCGCAGGAAAGGAGACCAGAACCAGATGCTGTTTTTTTAATAGATGTGAATGGAGAAGAGGCTTCACTCACATACGCTGAACAAACTGCTTTTGTGAGGAAATAGCTTATCATTTAATGAATCGATTGCCTGTCAACTAATCTTCAACGTGTTTTACACTAAACAATACTTTTATAGGTAGGACTCATTTACAGCATTACCAAGGTACTTTGTCATATTGAGTGGAATTGCACATTGTCTAAAGAAAGTAAAAATACTGATGGTTTCTTTCTTTTTCTTTAAGGTTTTATCTGTAATGACTTTTATAACTGCATGTATGCTGCAGCATTTTTAATAATTATTATTTAGGCTACTAACCAAATAGGCCTGGGTGTCATCTAGTGGGATATCACTGGACAACTAAACTTAATTTAGAGGCCCAGAGGTACTAACTCTGTGGGTCATAAAATCAATTGTTTTTTTGTTGGTGTTTAGTAGAGGCACATTTCATTACAACAGACCCAAGGGCTCATTTTCTCTGCACAAGGCTCATGACAACTTATTAAATCCAATGTATGATGAAAATAAAAGATCATAGGGGGTTCTTTGTCATGATGAAATTTAGTTAAGGATCCCAGTGTTTCCAGTCCTTCAGAACTTAGACTTCAGTCATTAATACTTTTAGATAGGCTACATTTGGGCTCACAGCAACATGTATTTTGTGATAAGACATGCACTGTTAAGTCAATATTTTTCTACATGAAGAAATGTCCATGATGCAGACAAGGTTGGTAGCCTAATGCCAAAGTGTGAGGGCTCAAACTCACATATACCGATGTGTTATTTTACTATGTCTTGTACAATGACTTCATAGGTCCCACAGGAGACAAGTACATCTTTTCTCTGCACACAATCCCTCATTAAAATCATGTCTTATTCACCCGATAAATCAGGCATCTGCTATCTGTGACAGAAAAGTGGCCTACTAGAGAGTTTAATGTTTCGTAGACATGAATTTTTAAACTTGTTGATATTTCAACACCTGTTGTGGAAGATGGTTAATTGGTTAGGTGTCAAGGTGGTGATGGTTTTTTGTTCAAGAAGATGAATTCTTTTCATTCTGCATATCTGTGTTAAGAATTTTTTATAAAAAAATTGTAAAGATGATTTTTGGAAACTGGAAACAGCAGCAAATAATCATTATGTTGATTCCAACCATCAACCACAACCATCTGTCATATACAGTCTTTTTATGTCTCAGTCTCTTTTGCAGCTATTCCAAACGGCATAAATGATGCCTTATAGGGCACTTCGAAGGGAGAACAATCATGGCAGCCATATGGGGTCACTAAGGTGACTTTAAAAAGTGTTGAACCCTCCAAAGCTCTGATGGGTAAAGCCTTTGAAGGTAAATGGGATGATCACTTTTCCATGCACTCACGCTCTCGCCTTAATTCAGTGTGCTGTCTGCATTGTGGCAGTTTTTAAAATGTACTACTGTTCCACATTTTATATGCTTACACAGACACAAATACAGAGGGCCCAGAATATTGGCAGCATTGCAGATAAGACATGATTATTGCCAGTACAAAACATTTACATTTTTTCTTACACATCTCAGTCAATACTGAACATGTCACATACTATTTTATGTCAGTACTTCATTACACATTGGGATATCAAGCATGTACGTTGTAGCAGCAACCCTGGAAGGCTCAGTGCAGCATTGAGGCTCTTTCACAGAACGCGTTTTTGCTTTGAAAAACGACAGTGGAATGGGGAAAAAATGCAATTTGTCGCGGGATGAGGTTTTTTAAAAAGTTGAAATGATTTTAACATGAGAGCCGCGTTTTTACAAAGAAAAACAATGGAAAAGTAGCGCACTGGAATGGAGAAATGTGTTCTGTGGGATCAATAAGTTACGAAAAACATGTTTTTTGCTTTAACTCGTTAAAATAAGTGAAGCAATTTTTTTTATAAGTTAAACAAGATTCAACTCATTTTTAAGTCAGTTTATTGTAGCCTATATTAAGTTGAAATTACTTAAAAATCCAAGTTGATCGTACTTAAAAAAAAACTTTGTTTTTACAGAGTACAGCATCTTCAAATCTCAAAGACATCATTATTAAATATTTGTGAGTAATAAAATATTGTTACGCAACATCGATTAGGCATCTAAAGCGCAGTGTATAAGACCACAATAATAATAGAAAATTGATTATTTATAACATTAGTGCCATAGCAGTCCAGTTTCATATGGAGAGCTCATGCTGTAAATGCAACTTATTTAAACAAATGTAATGCTCTGTCACCTTCATTGACATTCAAGGACATCAGAATTGCATGAAAACAGACCGTTATAGAAAAATGTGAGCAATACAATCGAGCCTTCCCCGATTCAAATGGCAGAACAGTGTCTCGTCTGATCATAGGAGAAGGATATAATCTGTGAGATTACTATAGCTTTGCTGCTTTCTCCTATAGATGTGTCTGTTTTTCGAAGATAGTTGTAGGGGAGGATCTCATCATTAAATCATGTTGTCAAGGCGACAACTTTGTGTGGAGCGTGGCTTTGAGGAGAGTGTGTCAGAAGAACACAGGCGTATTCCTGTCACGAATTCATCACTATTTCTGCGTAACCCTGGCAACCCAAACTCCCCAAAAACCGCAATACTACAACCAAGTAAATACACGTTACAACACTCAATCATAATGGTTCATAACATCAGAACAGTCGTGTACTGTAAGCATTTCTATAATGCTGCATGAAGCTCTGAGCAACACAATCCGTTAAAACACCAACTCACTATGGACTTGGGTTAAAGACAAGGAGTACATGATGTTTATTATGCTTCAGATTTTTATGAGGTGTTTCACAGTTGTTGGTCTCGCTCAGTTTATGCAGCACACACTGCAGTGGCCGGTTTTCCCATTTACATGCTGGTCTGTTCCTCTCTCTGCTTGCAGTGGTCAAGAGTGATGAAGGCTTATGCAGTGCTCCTGGAGTTGATGTTGTTAGCATTATCACACCTGATCAATAACTATTAATGAAGGAAACCATGGCTGATTCAAGATGTGGCTCTTGCTCTGCCGTTGCCATGGAAACCAGAGCTGCAGCACTGCAGGCTCAAATTGGGAGTTGGGAGAAAAAGAGAGGAAAAAAGCGATAGAGAAGGAGGGGGGTATTTCAGCTGGAATGGGGGAGAAAGGTAGTCCCTATAGTTACAAACACAAATGCAAGTGTTTCATGATCCTTTTATCACTTTACTTACAAGCAAAACATATCTGGCTATCTAATTTTATTAATGAATGTATTTAAAATTGCCGTATTTAAAATTAAAACTGCTGATTCAGTTCTACTCAGCCATCATTGAGTCTCTTTTATGCACTTCCATCACTGTCTGGTTTGGTTCAGCTACCAAATCAGGCATCAGGAGACTACAACGGACAGTCCGGACTGCGGAGAGGATTATTGGTACCCCCCTGCCCACCCTCAAGGACCTGTACTCTTCCAGAGTGAGGAAGAGGGCAGGTAAAATGATCACAGACTCCACACTCACCCTGGCCACAACCTATTTGAACTGTTACCGTCAAGACGGCGACTCAGATCACTGGCCACAAGAACATCTAGGCACAGGAACAGTTTCTTCCATCAGGCCATTTCCCTTCTGAACAGTTAACATACTCCCACTGTTTAGTGCAATATCTTCTAAACTCATGTGATATTTTTATATATGTATTCATACTATTCAAAATACTGTAAATATGTTCATAATCTGTAAATGATTATTCTGACTAAACCCAACTGTGACCCTATACTTTTATACTATTTTCATATTTTTATTCTTAGAATTTGTATTACTATGTTTCTTGTTGTATTTGTATACGTGCTGTAGCCTACCAAGAAAGAATCCTTGTGTGTGCAAGCACACTTGGCAATAAAGCTCTTTCTGATTCTGATTTGTTTTTGTAAATAAAAATATATTTTTTGTCTTTAGTGTCTTGGAGCCGTTCGTGTACTTCCTTCACTAAAACATCATGGTCTTCTATTGAGAAGATTTATGCTTTATGCGTACATTCTTGGCGATTCATTTCAATGGTCACAGCGCCCTCCTCTGAATGCGCACTACCGCTCCGAACCTCCAGGCGGCGACGGTAAAATCACGTGTTTTAGTCACGAGAGTATGCGAGGAAACTTCATACATCCTGCTGCTCATTCAGCAACAGTTCAGCCACTGTAAACATTAATATTTTTTTTTTTAAATGTTTGTCATCTTATGTTTAGAACGTTTGTTTAGATATTCGTCTAATGACAGTCATTTGTTTGCATTTCCAATAAATCTGCGATGGTTAAATATTCAGAAGAACGATGGCAAATCGATGTAACATTGCTACTGACCTGGACAAATTCATTGTGAAAGAGGTAAGCGTTGCGATTTGTCATGAATGTAATGTTTGAATGAACGCATATTATTGTGTTTACCTAATATTTTACTCAATGTTAATACTTAGGCTCCTCCAACTATTTATTATATTCCAAATTTTATAACGGAGACTGAGGAGGAGTATCTGTTGCAGCAGGTAGGACTTTTAAATAGTTTGGACTGCCTGCAATCCTACTTTCTACACCTACACCTACATAACATGTCATCAGTAGTTTACACTCTGGCCTGTGTCTCTTTTGTAAGGTATACAGAGCTCCCAAGCCCAAGTGGACACAGTTGTCAGGGAGGAGACTACAGAACTGGGGTCAGTACAGGCTGTTTGACACACGCTACATACGCACTTTTTAACGGAACAGTTTATTATTGAACCTGTAGATTTATTTTTTTAAGTGCTTATGTGTTTAAAGTTTTGTTTCATATTTGATACATCAGGCGTTTATGACCCTTTTATAGTATGATATAGAGATAATATGGAGTCAATTTTCTTCAGAGGCCCAAACTACGCAATGTGGCGCAGATGTTATTTAACTTATATGTCAAAAAACTAAGATAAAATTCTGATTGATTGTAATGTAAATCAAGGAGATTTGTACAGCAGAATAGGAGATTTGTACAGCAGAATAGCAGCCTACTACATAAAATGCATATTAATATCAGTTGTCACTTACTATATATCTCCCAATAATATGTCTTAGTAAGATGATATTATTTTAAATGCTTATTTTTATTATTAAAGCTCTTGTTAAAATTGTGGGTGACAAACCTATAAGGGAATACAATATGATGATGATTGAGATGTTACAACAAACATTCCTCAAAAACCTGTAGTGTCATATTTGATATATTTTAACATTTTTCTAAAACATTATGTATGGATACTGAAGTAAACAAGTCGCTTCAGTCCAGTAAATTTTAACTTTGAAATATTACAATGTAAAAGCTATTCTTACGTTTACTCATCATTACAGATTTCACAGCAAAAAGACATGTACCATGACCTAAAGGTGGCCATTTTAAGAATTATACTAAAAGGCCTTTTACTTTCTAAAAAATAGTATGAACTATCAATCAGAGGGCAAAAGACATGTAGTATATTATGCGCAACAGGATTTTCAGCAAAGCTTTGATCGTGTTAATAATTTAGAGACCTTACAAATTAATGTATAAAAATATATGATACAATAGTAGAGGTCTAAAGAGTACCTGAAAACCATACTTGAGTAAATGTACAGATACCTTACAGCAAAAATGACAATACGACTTGAGAAAAGTCTTAGGCCTGGTTTCACAGACAGGGTTTAGAGTTTAGACAGTAATTTACTTGTACTGAATGTAGGCTCAAAGATGCACTAGTCCTCAACAACTATGAGACATTGCATCCGCAGAGCCATTCGTATTGCGGATGACCCCTCTCCCTCCTTTCATGGATTGTTCACCCTTCTGCCATCTGGCAGAAGGTATAGGAGCATCCGTGCCGTGCCACCACCAGCAGACTTCGTAACAGTTTTTTCCCTGAGGTAGTCAGATTACTCAACACCCGGCTGCCTCCCAATAGTCATCTGGGTTAGTTGAACACCTAACCGAATAAGACTCATACCACCATACCTAGTAAGGTTCATACCTGGGTTAGTCGAACACCTAATCCAGTAAACATTCATATCATTATACACACACTAACCCAGTAAGACTCAGTACTACTGCAAACTCCACATACATAAAGTAGCTGCATCAGTCACTTTACTAGTATTGCTGCTATACTTGAGCTGCTATGCCATAAAATAATCATAGTCCATGTTTACAATTTATAGTTCTATTCAGTGTATCTATTTATTTATTTTATATATATATATATATATATATATATATATATATATATATATATGTGTGTATGTATGTATTATTTGTTTATTGTGTATTTGCACTTATGTAGTCTTGCGAAATGTTCCGTGTTGCACCATGGTCCTGAAGAAACGCCATCTCGTTCCAATGTATGCCTGTTATATAGAATGACAATAAATATGCACTTGACTTGACATGCCAGTGAAAAACAAGAACCTGATGATTTGTGAGGAGAGCAATCACATGTTTATTTTCTAAAATCAAAATAAAACCCGATATTGCAATAAATCAAGGTCGACACAATTGTACAATAGACTTCATAGGGTTAATTACTATAGTCAGATATACTTTATCTTATTTCTGTTTGATGACATCAAAAAAATGATAGAATATATTTATAAAAAATTGTTTTTTTTCTCTTTCTTTTACAGGTGGATTGCCAAATCCCAAAGGAATGCTCACTGAAAAGCTCCCTGATTGGCTGCTAAAGTACACAGAGAAAATATCTGCCCTTGGAGCTTTTGCTGGAAAGGCAGCTAATCATGTGCTTGTAAATGAATACAAGCCTGGGGAGGGAATTATGGTAAGGAGAGTGAGTGGATTTCCTTTTAATTTCCTGTAGTTATCATTTTGAACCCACCCTTTTTCATTTCAACCTTCTCTCCCTTAGCCTCATGTGGATGGACCACTGTATCACCCCACAGTAACAACTATCAGCCTGGGTTCTCATACGGTTCTAGATTTCTACAAGCCTATTTGTGAGACTCAGGTAGCAGCAGACAGACTCACACAAACAATCTAATCTAACTATCAAACAGCAGTCTCTTAATGGTATCCTCTTCTCCCTGCAGTCTGAAGTTCCTCAAACAGAAAAAAGCCGCTACATACTATCGCTGTTGGTACAACGAAAAAGTCTGCTGATTCTCCAGGATGATATGTACAAGTGTTACCTGCACGGCATTCAAGGAGTTTCTGAGGATATTTTGTCAGAGCATGTGGTAAATATCTCATCAACAAGTGTTCACGTGGGCAACACCCTGCCCCGAAGCACCAGAGTCTCCCTTACAATCCGCCACGTTCCCAAAGTCGTCCGGGCCAATCTGTTGCTTGGCAAGAAGTGACACATGCAAAGACTTGACTGAACTTTGAACTAGACAAACAGGTTATTCATGTTTACACCCTTAAAGTGAAGTGTGTAAATGCAATACACAAAAGTGGCTACAACTTACAATATATTATTGTCAATGCAAAGCATTAGTAGTGTCTATAAGGATATCTTACTGGGTGCCATTTTTGCAGCAGCCTTTGAAATATTTGTCCTCTGAAGCCTGAAAGGTCTATAGGGTTGTCTAATCTTGTACAAACACACCTACATTGACCATTTTCAGTGAAAAGATAAACAAATGGCTATTTTACAACTAAATAAATGAAGTGTATTGCTGTATTTTCTGACTGTTGCAACTATTTTACTCTCTTCGTATAATCCTGTACTGGTCTGACCTGCAAACTAGAACTAGTCGCTCAAGTGTTGGGCCTTCCCCTCCTTAAATTCTTGGAAATATGGGATGGTCTTTCTCTACGATGTTTGCGTTTCGCTCTTTTGGAATGTGGGTTGTGTTTTCACCATAGGCTGGTTGGTTTTCACGCTGACATTTACGCTGTTTGCGTAACTTATTTTAGAATCCGCGTATCCTGTCAGATGCGAACTGTACTGCCGTGTGACAGGCGACAGTTTACATTTACCCCGTTCTCTCTTTTCTGGTAAGTATAGCTTTCTACGCGTTTAACAGCTAATTAAAAATATTCGTACACGTTTACTAGCAAAAACGTTGCCCAGTAAATGTAAGTCATTTGCGGGTTTTACTTGATTAATGCAGATACATGCCAGGTAACGTTAGCTTGTTTAGCGTGCTAGCATGTTTTACTCGCTTCCAGATTTGGTTGAGAATTTAAAAACACACTCATGCTTGATTATTATTTTATTGCCAAGCCTTATTTTTTAAAGAGGACTAACGAATATTGTCACCAGGATAAGTTTTTCTGCTGACGAAAAAAACTGAAAACTTGAAAACACTATCTATAGAAAACAAACCTATCGTGCGTATTTCATGCGATTTGCCAAGATGAAAACCCCCTCAGACTGCATCTAAACTCAATTTCAACGTCGTTTTATACATACTTCTCTTGGTACATGTGTGAGTTTTTTTTCCTCTACCGGTTTAATTAGTGTGGGTGGTGGATGGATGGAGGACATACTTGTAGTGGGTGTGTCCACAGTTGTTTCTTTTAGCATTGTGTGAATGACATTCACAAACCCCCTGTGAGCTCATATTTCTGTGAAACCTTTCAACAAACGTGCTTTTTAATGTAATTTGTGTTGCTATTAATAATGTGTGTATACTAATGTATTTAAGTTTGGTGTGGTTCTGTTAGTGACTATAATGTAATGTATGTATAACAATTTAGAGACGTTATTCTTGCTCTCTTCTTCCTCTCAGAAAGTGAGTGAACCATTTGTGCCACAAGATGTTCCTAGCCAAGAAATTCCTTGGAGGCATTATTGATGTGGTCAGGTGAGGCAATATTTCACCACAAACCTGCTCTCTTTCATCTGTACGTAAGCCAGCCTCTGAGGCTGGAATCTCACTTTATTATTATTATGCTTCAAACAACAACGACAGGAAAAAATAAATAAATCCTACAAATAAAAACACAACTACAGTATTATACATTATCACAAAGAGACCAAGCTCATATTTATAGCTTTCCTATTAGTGCTTTGAAACACATGTAGGCCTACCTGTAGAGAGAAAATTGGTATTTTGTTGGAAAGTTTACATTTATGCATGTAAAATTTAACTCCTACAATTCTAAAATTAATGCCCGATTTTAAACACTGTTATCATATCCCGCCTAAAACGTTCTGGTAGGTGGCTGAAGATGAGAAACACTGCTTTAAATAACCAAACATTACATTTAGGGCTGGGCGATATGGCCCAAAAAAATTATCACGATATTTTTTTTTATATCAGTCGATATCGATAATTATCACGATAAATGTCAAATCTTTATTTCTTTCAAGTTTAAAGGCAGATTTTTGCTCCTAAGTGAAAGTTGTATAAACCAGAGCGTTAATTGTGGTTTTAACTCTTTATTGTCAGAACATATCATGACAAACACTTGCCAAACACTTGCCAAACAGGTGAACATTTCACAAATCTGAGGTAGAACATTCAAACATTTGTCATTTTTCCTTAACAAAATGAATATCTGAATAGAAAAATATTTCTTCAGCACAGTTCGCAGTGCAGCCTGCAATATTCAAATTACATGTTTTGTCTCGAAATGCATATTTGACAGTGAGTTGACAGTAAATCTGCATCCTAACTCAAGCTAATACTACTCTGTTAAATTTATGTTCATTAACAAAAACAGTAACATCTGTTTAAAAATAAAATAAAAATTAACGACCACATTTTTATTTGGTAAAATGTAATATTCTGACTGTTTGAGTTTTATTGAAAATTAACCATTGGCCATCCAGTATCATGCATTTAGATCATGATAACCACAGATAAAACCAGGCATAGCCTATAACTTAGCACCTCACTATCATGGCAAAATGTAACTTTATGGTTTCTATGGTATTTGTATGAAAAACAGTAGCCTTACAGTTAAATACATTGTGTAAATACTATAATTATATTCCATTAGTCATTTAATACATTGTCTAAATTAATAATATTATACAATTCAATATGTATATCCCACATTTCATGGTGCAGTTAATATTACTAGGCTAACCTTGAAGTAAATCCATGGTAGGCTAAATGGATTCAGTATCAATTCAGATTCTGACTGTCTCGTTGCGCGCAGTGTTTCTCCTGTTTGTCAGCGCTGTTTCATCTGCCGTTAAACATTTGTGCTCTTCGCTGAACTCAAGCGCTTCTCACTGAATCTCGTGACCGAGGGCGATCAGAGTAAACGCGTCTGCTCTGCCAGTCTGAGGGAGATCCGCACTAGTGAGCTCGCGCGCGCTGCCGTTTGGACTTTGAGCCGAGCGGATAAACGGTCCGTGTGGCGCGCGGTTGAAATGAGTTTCGTTCCGCTTTTGGCGCATAAACATTATCGAACATTTATCGACCTCTTGATATCGTTTTATCGAGAAAAATTATATCGCGATAATTATCGTTATCGTTTTATCGCCCAGCCCTAATTACATTTTCAAAAAACAAAAACAAAATCTGGACGGGTTTGATCAACAATAAACATAGACGCATTCTTCTACAGCCCTTTCACAAAGCTACAATGCCAGATAAGATGGGCCACAGATACCAATTGTAATGACAAGAGCAGCTCACATGCATCTGCTTGGAAAATAAAAATAATTTAATTAAGGAGCTGAAAATTTTGAGTGCGGATCGAAAAACTTGACAACTTGGGTGGTCATACTTGGGTTTACAAGAACCAACTCAAACCGTGAACAGAGTTTTAAAAAAATCTTTATAGGCCACATTCCCACTGTTTTTGACCATTGCAATATGTAATGATAATCTAAAATAATAATTATGATTTTATTGTGATTATTAAATATATTAAACAAAATAATAACAAAAAACATGTAAAACAAAAAATTGAGAAATACATGATGTACCTCACTCTGAAAAGCATATATATTTATTTATTTAAATGGTAGCCTGGGCAATTTGACAATCACGCTATGCCATATCACAATATCAATTTTTATTTCAATATATCGTGCAGGTCTGCTCTAAACCACACACGGGTTGATGATGTCACATTTACTGTTTTTTCATCCTCTTCTGTCTATAACACTTAAGAATGGAAGAGAGGCTAAATGACTGTTTCTGACCTTTCTTAAAATATATTGTTTAATTTTTATCTAATGACTATAAATCAAAGGATTTAAATTGACTGCCATTTTAATTCATTTAAGTGCTTTGTGGGATTGTAGTTCATTCCTTTATAAACTATAATAAGGACATAGTCTTGTAACTTTGTGATAATATATGTTCAATAAACAGACTGTTCTGCATCCTCTATCTTATTTTTATTTTTTTTAATTTGGATCAGTAGTACTGCTGTCGTGGTAGTATTATTTGTTTATTAATAAGATGGAAATACTGTACCAAAGTGTACTTATACAGCTGTGACTTCTTGTGAATGTGTAGTTGATTAGAAAGCATAATTATGCCTTCTCATCCTGTTTCCACAGCAACATCGACCCCGGCCAGTTTGTGCCTTCTGAACCTGTGAGTAACAGGAGCTCTCAGTGTGATGTTATACTGAAGTGTCTCTGATGGTTGTTGTCAGTCATCTCTGATCTGTTTCAAAAAAGAGCCAATAGAAAGAATTCTGCAGTGTTGTGTAGTGTAGTGCCCTTATTTTTGATGTGTACACTCAATAATAATAAAAATATCTGTATTATTTCTACAGAAGTCTTTAAAAAGTGAATTATGAATGGAAAGCAATAATATATTTGGGGCTCAATTGTGGCACTCAATCATTTGGGTAATTAATAAATCAATTAACTAAGAAATTGATGTTAATTGTAAAAACAAATCGGTTAAAAAATAATCGATTACTAAAAATGTAGATACATAATTTAAAGTACATAAAAATAGTATACATATTATATTAATATTAGATATTCAGTTGGGCAATTACGGACAATAATGATTTAAAAAATGTAATGTTTTGTCGGGGAACAGATTATAGGGCCTATGTTTGAAAATCAAATTGAATAAAAATCTGTGAATCAAAAGATCTGTTTATCCATTTCCCAAAAGATTATGGCATCACCTATTTACGTTGCTTCCTGAAAAACTGGGCTAGAAAAACCTTTTAGACTTTTGAAGAGCTATATCCAATATGATTTATTCTTTGTCAAATGCTTTTATGTTTTGGTAAATAAATCCAACTGCTAAAAATTAATCAAAGTATTGTCTACTCTGTATCATAAAATACACTGTACAGTGTGTATCTGGTAGCTTAGTTAAAACATGAATGATGGAGAGTTCTATATTAGGACCATTCTAGAGCAATATATTAGTAATTCTAAAATATTTTAGTAATTTTAAGGCATATTTGCATTGGAGATGCTGATACTATTGAGATCCTTCCCCAGCCCCCGCCCCGCAGACCGCTGGCTTATGCTGAGGTCAACGAGTCCGAGGAAGAGAAGCAGTTCCGTAAAGTGTTCCAGCAGCTCGCTGGCGATGTTAGTATTACACGAACAAATATTCATATATACACCGATACGTACAATAAACACTGGCTGTTGTAAAAATGTCCTTTTGTTTCAGGACATGGAAGTAAGCCCCAATGAACTGATGAACATCCTCAACAGAATCATCTCCAAACGTGAGTGGTATGTGTGGGTCTGTGTGTGTCTGATGTTTGCTGCTGTGTAATGCTGATTCCCTCTGCCCTGTATGTTATTGCAGATGGTGATCTGAAGACAGATGGCTTTACCATTGAGTCATGTAGAAGTATGGTGGCTGTCATGGATGTATCCTTCCTTGTTTGATCTGGACAATTGCTTTCATACAAACCAATTTTTTGCGCTGATTTTAGTGGAAAATCTATTACAATAATTCTGGCCGATACTGACAGGACGATAATTATTTTATTGGCTGTAAATGGATATACAATTTTGTCTTGACTAAAAATAAAACAAAATCAATTATTTTAGATGGTACAAGAGAATTTAGGCATCACAACATTATAATGTACAGTGTGAAAGATTGATATTCATTTTGATTGAATGGTTGTTAGGTGATATCAAAGGTAATATAAATGTGAAGATTAGCAATTAGCCAATAAATATCTAATATCAACCAATACAACAATAAAAAATGTTGCCGATAGGGTAGTATAGAGTAGACAGGAAGCAAAGTTAAGGGGAAGTACCCGCTTTTTGGCGTGTTCGCACCGCAGGAACTAGGAATGATTTTAGTTCTAGGAACCCAGCACAATAGGAACTACCAGTGACGTTAGCGTACGCTAATCGGCAAGAACACACCAAACACCAGCACCAGACATTTAAAAAAAAAAAAAAGTAATGTACTCACACAGATTATAACCTATATTTTTTGCTCCACAAACTAATTCTACAAACATGGAAAACTGATAGATGGACCTCTTAACCTTTACGCTAAGGAGAAAATCCAACGCAACTTTGAACCAAGCAAAACAAGATTATGTACTTCTGCTCAGCTAGCGACACTGGACGTCAGCCACATGGCAAACACTAATACTTTTTCATATACTGTCTACTTTCTTTGTATAACAGTATCTAATAACGTATTAGACATAACTGTTAAACAGATCATAAACTAATGGAGAATAGGAGCGCTGTGTGCTCAGGCTCTGGCGTTCTCAATAGAAGTCAGAAGCACCGCCAAAACAAAAGTCGAACTCAGGTTGCCAGAAGTACAATCATACAACATGTTTGTGTGCTGCTGCCCACGAGACTATTGGCTCCGACAACCAATACCAATTATTATTATTTTTTTTTTTATCTTTGAGGCTGGGGTTCAGATTTTTGATGGTGTTTGATCTTGACATTGTGCTCCAGAGTGACAGCACAGGTAAATTGGGCTTCCATGAGTTTAAACACCTCTGGAACAACATCAAGAAATGGCAGGTGAGTAGAGAATGTAACAACAGTAGCTTGAAGATTTGTCTTTGTGATTTTAAACCAGAAATTTGATTTAACTAAGCTGTGTATTTGTATGTTGTTGTGTTTGATGTTTTCTTATGAATGTACAGAAAATGGAACTCTGCATTAAGAGTAAAACATTGAGACAGTTAACAAAAAACAAGAGAACAAAGTTAACACAACTAAGCTACTGTCTGTTTTATAGGCAGTTTATAAGGCTTATGACAGGGATCGCTCAGGAACTATTGGAGCAGATGAGCTTCCAGGTGCCTTCAAAGCTGCAGGTAAACACCCATTGTGGATTTACATCATTAACAAAACCCAATTCATGGATTCTTTTGGGGTTCCGGATGTACGTTGTATTGATTATAAGACTGCTTGGAATTGGTTGGTGAAAAATGATCTAGGCCAATATTAGTCTTGTGCTAGTTTCAGTCCAGTGGGAACTAGTCCCTAAACAAGGCTGGCACAATAGCTCTGTTTTCAGTGATGTTAAAGGGGTAATTCACCACTGACAAGATCGGTTTTTAATAAAAACTTTGCTGTCTATGCAGTAGAAAAAAACTGGTGCTACATGAAACAGAGAATAGGGCTGTGGTATTCCCTTTTGCCAAAAATAAACTTCAACACCCATAATGCACTGGGTTCGATCAGCCCATCCGTGAGCAGCAATACAAAATGTGGAAGTACGATCTGTAGTTTTAACAATAGCCCTGGAGCTGTCAGAACTCTGCTTTTTCGTTCAAATAAACGAGGAGATTAGGTTGCTAGTAACATTGCTAGTACACTTCATATACTACCGACATGAAACTGGTTAAAAACTGGCAAACTTGTGCTTTAATATATATGCATTGTGCTGATCACATTTGAACTGTATGTTCATCCACTGTATAATCTCTCTCTTGTGCCTCCATCAGGTTTCCCATTGAATGAGCAACTCTTTCAGATGCTTATTCGCAGGTATAGCGATGAGAGCGGAAACATGGATTTTGACAATTACATCGGCTGCCTTGTGAGACTTGATGCCATGTGCCGTAAGTTGATAATAAAGGAAAAAATACTTTTTAAATAGTTTTAGCTGAGTGAAATGGTTTCTTTCGTAGTGTTTAATAGCTCTAGGAGTACACCGAGTAGGGAGTAACATGGTCTGGAAATGTAAACACTGACTTAATCTTGTTTTCCCTATTTTGAAAGATGGCTTGTTTAGTAGTCGTTAAATAAAATGACAGCAGCAAGGAAAATTTATTGTTTACTCTTATTCTTATTTTGTGTCCTTTAGTCCATGTCTGCTTTGAAGCCATGTGCTAGTGTACTGCTTGAGTTGGATGATGACTCAGCTTGCACACACAGGCACTACAAATGTTTGTCCAATAAAATGCTTTCTATAATGAGAATTCCCCCTCCCCCCAATACCACATGTCTCTGACTAGCAAAAGCAAATATCAAAACATGAGTGTGGTGTGTAACCTGAAGGCTACTGGAAAATATCAAAGACATCCCACCTCTCCCCGAAGTTCCGGAAGTCTCCCAGCATTTTGATAGTGGCTCCCTGACGCCCGCAAATTATTCACAATATCCCAGAGATCGAGCAAGCAAGAGAGAAGCCCTGTTTCAACCCAGTATTAAGATGCGTTTTTTGGTAATCCAAATCACAAGTGGTCAGCCAAGACGCATTATCATTGACACCTGGTACTAAGATGCGTTTCAAATTCTGATTTCATTGAAATCTCTTATTAACCCGCAACCCGTGTTACACGGCTTATGTGAATATTATATTATAGTATATTATTTATTTATTTTTAAGCATTCATATGCACTACCTTCCGGAAATTCGTTTTTTTCAGGGTGGGATGTCTGCAATAAAGAAAGAAAACATTGTTAATCAGTGTTATTTCATGCAATCTATATGAGGAGCTGTTGAGGGATTAAAGGTATTTTATCAAATTTACTTAGTTCGGTTACTTGTTGCTCCCCCTGTAGGCTATTGGATAATTCAGCCATTTTGTTAATTACTTCAGTATATATATTAAGATCATCTATAATATATGATGTCTCAGAGCAAACAAGTTTGAAATAAGAGTTTTTAGCTGACTTAGTAAATAGTCGTTTTTTGACTCTGTATCTAAAAGTTACAGATAGTTAGTGTTTGCGGGTTTTTTTAAATTATATAACCCCTTTAAGCTATGTGTCAATAATTTTATACAGAATAAATTAAGTGATTCTTTATTTAATAAAGTGTCTTATCCGTGTTTTTTGTTTGTTGACTTCAGGCGCCTTCAAGACTCTTGACAAAGACAATGATGGCACAATCAAGGTCAATATTCAGGAGGTAAGAGAATTTTGATATCTTTACAACTTAAAGGAGAACTCCGGCGCAAAATGAACCTTTGGTTTAATTACACATTGTTACCTAGTCAACTGTTATCTGAGATTTGTTTTCATGATTATCGAATGTAAATAGTTTTATCTCTAAAAACAATTTAGCCTATAAAGCTAGTATATTGGGCATAGTGTAATGACAAATAAAAATCGCTTGTTAATACCACTAACAAGGCTCAAAATAGCCCCACACTAGCACGGTAGCATAATGAGGGTCCCTACCTTCAAACCGAAGCATTGAGAACTTTGTCAGTGTCCAGACAGTTTAATAAGAAGATATTTTAAACATACAGTCAACTTCGCGGATACAGGCACAAGCCATCTTTGAAATACAGTCTTTACCAGTCGATCTACGAACGCCGATCCAAGCCTGCTGTTCGCGCTCACCTTATCACAACTTATAGCTCGTTCACATTCTCACCAGCGCACTTGGATCGGCGTTCGTAGATCGACTGGTAAAGACTGTATTTCAAAGATGGCTTGTGCCTGTATACGCGAAGTTGACTGTATGTTTAAAATATCTTCTTATTAAACTGTCTGGACACGGACAAAGTTCTCAATGCTTCGGTTTGAAGGTAGGGACCCTCAATATGCTACCGTGTTAGTGTGGGGCTATTTTCAGCCTTTTTAGTGGTATTAACAAGCGATTTTTATTTGCCATTACTCTATGCCCAATATACTAGCGTTATACTAGCTTTATAGGCTAAACTGTTTTTAGAGATAAAACTATTTACATTCGATAATCATGAAAACAAATCTCAGATAACGGTTGACTAGGTAACAATGTGTAATTAGACCAAAGGTTCATTTTGCGCCGGAGTTCTCCTTTAATGACACACATTTACATTCTCTTAAAAATAGTATCAAATTTACTGGGGATAAAAAGTTCTGTAATATATAATTATAAATGAAATTATGTCTGTTCACAGTGGCTGCAGCTGACAATGTACTCCTGAGTGATATGAAGGTCTGCGATGACGTCAAATCAGTTATATGCAATAATGACTTTATGCTTTACACATCTCCCTCTCTTTTTTTCACACACTATAGCACTAATTCTAGAGAAATGCCAGCATGGAGCTTTTCAACCTCTGGGGTTATGCACTCAACTATGCCATTCTCTTTCTCTATACGTTTTATTTTTATTTTTACAATTTTTAGAGCATTTAGTCCATTAGTAGCATTGTTCAACAGAAAACTAACCAAAGAAAGAAAATTATAAGAAAGTGTCAAAATGAACAAATATGCCTTTATGAAGGGTTTAGGTTCAGCCACAAATATGCAAAACTGTTTTACATATTGATGTTGTCAGTTGGTGCCAATTTCGCATGAAGTCAGTGGGGGATGCAAGGGATAAAAATATTGCCATGAATTTATCATGAAAATCTGGTGTCAAATACAATTTTATATTGAATAAAAAAATATATAGTGATAAACTTTGTGTTTTCTTCATCAGTTTCTTTATTGATGAATTCCATCATTGTTGATGTATGCTTTGATGCAGTAATATTTTCTATGTTTCTATATATATTATATAGCAATCTAGCGTGTTAACTCCAATTACTATAAATGAAGCATAAACGTATTCATAAAAACGCGAAAATGTTAGCTAATAGGAGGACATTGCCGTCAGCTTTAGCAAAAGCGTGTGTGCTGAACCTGTTAGGTGAGCACCAGCGCCACTGATACAGGAGTGGTCAGACCTGGTAACTGCACCCACCCATCTACGCCACGGAGAACAGGCTAGAAAGTGCGCTTGCGCAGCGCATACGCCGCTTTCTACGAAGTTTCTGGATATCTGGACGCAACGCAAAATATTGATTACATTTGACCATTCTGAGGTATTTTCCAAGCTTTTGTAGTCTTAAAGTACTTTATACGCTTACGGCTTTCCTGGAGTTTACAAACTGACCGTTAAAGTGAATGTGATCGCACATATCGTGTAAAATAGCTAACGTTAGCTAGCTTAAATAGCTAGTCAGTGATGATTGTAGGTAATAAGAAAATGGGGGCGAAATGTCCTTCCGCATTCAAGCGTTTTGTTTCGTTATGATAACAATGATATTCTGTTTATCATTTTTCGATTTATGTTTGCTCGACAACAGTTGTGTGCTGCTTGGGGATGTAACGTTATGCGTTTGGTTTAATTCAGTTGCTTTAACACGATGGCGCTTCCTCGCGGCACAAAGAGAACGCGTGATGGTAATGCGTTTATGTAACTAACGTTACAGTTCTAGCTACTACACCTCGATGGAAACATGCGCTCTTTCGTCTGGAGCTAATAGCTAGATGAATGAATGAGCCGGCGTTTTAGTTGCTCTTCCTTCCGGGACATCCATCGTGTGTTGTTACTTAAGATCATCTTGTAACGTTAGTTGCAAATCAAGTGATTTGTTGATCTGAACAATGCATGTAAAATAAAGTCGCACTCACGGTGACGCTGACGTTCACTAGCTGGTATGCGAGACGTCTCATGTCTCATAACATTGCCTGCCAGTAGTTTTTTTAAATGGCAACCTTTCCACTTTGACATTAATCAGAGGGGATCAATAGAATTATTTTACATGAATGTACAATTTAAATGAGAAAAATTATGCAATTATCCCTAAAACCGGACCCCAAAACTTCATATTGATTAAATTATGCATTGAGCTTAAGAAAAACAAAAATGTCTATATTTTAAAGAAACATTGCTACTATTTCCTAACAGGAAGTTAGTCCTCTTTCCATATTTAATTTGCTATAAGTTCTGAGTTTTATATTGTTATTTATGTGTTTTAACATAATAGTTTGTTTTCAGTGTCATGGCCATGTTGTGTCAACTTTGTCACACAAATTGTAAAGAAAATGTTACATTATTTCTCCCATTTTAAGTTGGCATAATAAGTTTAATTTTGACGATTATGGTTAGGGTACGTGTACCCATTAAGCCCAAATTCAAAACAAGAGAAAATCATGTGATTTGTTACTTCCCTGACATTTTTTATTGCATACCAATCAAATTTGGTAATGTTGAGATGTGCATCCTGTCTCAGGGGACTTTGTAAACATTGGCACAACAAAACATGGTCTCTTTTCACCATTACTCACTGTGGAACCATAAACCCACCTTATGTGTTTCAATGAGGAATCCCTCTAATTACAAACTTTGGAGACCCCTCTAACTCATTTTCAACTAATTGTTAATTGCATTTTAACAAATGATTTTTCATGTCAATATCTAGGGAAAAAAAACTAGACTTAGATTTTGGTGGGCTTAATAGGTACACTTACCCTAATAGATGGAGCTAAAATGAATTCAAGTTTTTTATACCGTATTGTTTCAAAGCAGCTTTACAGAAAATGCTTGTTTCAGTGTTACAATTTTGAAGTATTCTGTTATCAGCCAGAGATGAGTGTGTCAAAGTAAAGTCCATATGGCTGTAATATACAGCTATAAGATAATACAGGTTATGTGGTTAGTTGACATCATGTATTCAGTTTAGCAGATCCAAGGAATTTGTTAGGCAGCGATTACAGCTTGTGCTCTTAATGATTACAATATGAGGATAATATCTTAACAGTTTTCTATGTTGATCTGAAGTTGGCATTATACATAGTTTCACAAGTGTTGCTGTCATCTGAAATTTTTTCAATCTGTGCATCCTGAGGTAGAAACAAGAAATCGAAAATTAGCAAAGCTGCTCTTCAAATCAATTTGAAACCACTTCATTTATTGAAATGAATGCAACATTTGTCCATATTTATAATAAAAATATTTCAATTTCTGATGGTGTTGCCTCATATTAAGTGACAAGGAAATACACATTTTGTGAGAAAAAGAAAGAAGCTAAAGAGGTTTCACCCAAACGTCTGTGTGAACAGATTAATCTAACAGTTCTTTTAAGCAGCCTGTTTTGTCCCAGCACTCAAATATGGCTGCAATCCGGTTTGTAAAGCTAATTAAATGGCAGGGTTCTGTATAAACAAATGAGTTTGAATGACAAATTACATTTTTAGTAAATACTGCAATCTGATTCAAATCAAAATAATTACTTATTGTTTTTTTTTAAATGGTAAATTCTACACTTTACACAGACTCCCCCGTAATTGGACTGAGTGAAGCGTTCTGCCGTGAAGATGTCCGTGTCTTCGCTCTACCTCAAACAAGACAATATGGTGCGCTTCAAGAGGAGAAAAGCACGTTTCTCCTTCAGTGAAGTGCACATCCTGCTGGACGAAGTGCGGAAGAATCGCCACATTGTTGTGGGTGAGTTTTACCTCCGTTTGACAGGCAAAACCTTTCTTAGCAAGTTAGCAGTCTGTTATAAACTAAATGAGTTTGCTCAGATTAGACAACCACCAGTTGTGTTTCATGTCCCTATAAAATGGACAAACTGTACATAAATGTAATGTTCCCATACTTTTCTGTGTCTGTGCATAGGTAAGTTTAACGCAGGCATTCCCTCTGACGTGAAGCGCAGGAAATGGGCCGAGATCACGGCGCGTGTTAATGAGATTGGAGAGTGTGACAGAGAGATCATGGAGGTGATCAAGAAATGGTCCGACCTCAAATGCGACACAAAGCGCAAAGTGGCTGCTCTGCGGACTGGTGCTACAGTGTCCCAGCGATTGGCACGGTCCAATATTGAACTGTCCCCGATGGAAGTCATCGTGGAATCCATACTTGAACTGGACAAGAAACCATGGGAAGCTACACAGCGGTCCAGATCTCGCAGTCATGGTGACGAACAAGAGCCTGTGTGTGAGGATGAGGAAGAGGAGGATGGGGGGTTTGTGGGGATGGGGTCGGTCAACAGTTCCCCGAGCAGAGGAATGGATGTGGGAGGAATGCCTGCTACCACAAGCGGAGCTGGAGGTGCTAGTGAGATGCAGTATGACGGATCCAAAGCTGGAGGTAAACAAACTGAAAATACTCAAGTTGGACCATAAGAATTTTCATTAGATTTAGCACTGTGGTTGTGTACACACTAGAGATCCATTTTTGTGAAAGTTCACTGCAAGAAACTTTAATGCACTATACTGTGTATATATATACATATTTTGCTTTGATCTAAAAAATTAAACAGCTATGTTTTCAAAACCTACTGTTCAAAAGTTTAGGGCCAGGAAGATTTTTCAATGTTTTTTAAAGTAGTCTCTTAAGCTCTCTAATGATGCATTTGCTCAGAAATACAGTAAAAATAGTAATATTGTGAAATAATATTACAATTTAGAATAACTTTAAAATTAGACAGTTCTATTTTAATATATTATAAAATGTAATTTATTCCTGTGAGGCAAAGCTGAATTTTCAGCATCATTACTCCAGTCTTCAGTGTCACATGATCCTTAGGAAATGATTCTAATATGCTGATTTGCTGCTCAAGAAACATTTATTAGTATTATCAATGTAAACCTTTCTGCTCCTTAATATTTTTGTGGAAACTATGATGCATTTTTTCCAGAAATCTTTGGTAAACAGAAAGTTCAAAAGAACAGCATTTATTTGAGATACACATTTTTGTAACATTGTAAATGTCTTGTGTAACTTTTGATAAATTAGAGAGAATAAGTATGAATATCTTTAAAAAATATATATAATTTTAAACTGACCCCAAACATTTAGGCCTGGTTTCACAGACAGGGTTTAGATTAAGCTAGGATTAGGCCTTAGTTAAATTAGGACATTTAAGTAGCTTTTATAAACGTGCCTTTGAAAAAAAAAAAACATTACTTGTTTGAATTCTGAGATAAAACAACCCAAGGGCACTGACATATTTTAAGATATATCAGTGCAAGTTGCTTTCAGTTAAAACAGCTCAAACATGCATTTTAGTCTGAGACTAGGCTTAAGCCTTGTCTGTGAAACCGGCCATTAAAGTAGTGTATTGTTGATCCAACCAAGTTGTAAATTTAATGTCTGTGTGAAATGTCTGAATGTCCCAAAACAATTTGTGTATAATGTTTACATCCATGTTTTCAAGAAAGAAAGAAAAAATGGTGTATCGTAAACTTGTGATGATATGGTGTTTAACTTATGATATGACTGTTTACTTGTTTGATCACAGATCCCGAATCCCACTTAGACTCAGATGAAGACAACCGTGACCTCTTCCCATCATCCTCCATGGCATCTGTCAGTAACTCTTACTCTGAGGAGGATGGAGTTGCAACTAGAGGCAATATTGGACACGTCTCCTCCACAGCCACCGCCTCTGCTAAAAGACCCTCGTCTTTCTCTGGGGCGGAGCCAGACAGTTCACGCGAGCAATTAGCACACAACGCAAGCCTTAGCGTGCAGGAGCAGCACACCACTAACGCTCTTCTGGCCACGGTCTCCCGCTCGCTTGAGCTTCTTGCAGAGTCCGTGCAGCAGCTAGCGGAGACGCAACAGGAGTTTGCACGCGAATCATTGCAGATACAGAGGGATACCGTGCAGGTGATGCGAGAATTT